TTTACAAAATTTGGTTTAAAAAATGTTTTTGATGAGTTACATAAAAGTTTATACATATAATAGAAGGAATACAACTTGTTCGTTATTTTAAACACTTTTTAGATAAAATCCATCAAAACAGTCTGAAATACATTTAATTCAACCAAGGAAGATTACGTCATCGGTGTTAAACTGACACAATTTAATGGTTTGCAATTAGTAGGCACCTAACCTTAAAAATATACATTCTGCATATAATCATCATCATCGAATCATTATCGTCTCGAGGTAGTCATTATTATCATCGCTACCACTATCACCATTACCATTATCATCACCACCACCATCAATTCTGTCATCAAATTATCATCCTTATCATCAATATCGTTATCGTTATCATCATCAATATCGTCATCATCATCTTTTTATTCTTCATCAAGAAGCAATAAAAATAAAAACGTTTTTATATTTTCTGGAAGATTAACTTCTAGTCTAGTAAGAGACATGACAATTACCCTGCGAGCAGAGTCTCCTTTTAACTCCTCTCGCCCGTAGAGGAGTTGAGGAGACTCTGCTCGCAGGRTACATGACAATGAAAGGTTGAACAGAAAAAGCCATACAGCACCCATCGACAAAAACTTTATTTTATTCATTTTCTATCGTTTTGGTAAATTCTTGATCTTTTTTTTAAATAATTCGTTTTCAATAATACATGTTCTAAAAACTTACATTTGAAGKAGATTTTCATTTCTATCGAATATCCCAGTTGGTAATGTCTCGAGGTTATTATATCCAAGATGCCTAAATGAACAATATACATATAATAACATCMCTATACTATACATTATGGGGACCAAAATAATATTAGATAAGTTAAAACTTTCTTTCTTTCTGGTTTCATTCTTGGAGTTTCCAAAATGTATATTCTCAAGAAACAATATTCAAGAGCATAACATGTGATGGGTATTTGGAAAGCCCATCCTCAAAGAATTGGAGTGATATTGTGGCTTTACCGTTCCCTGTACGCATGTAGTCTGCGCGTGTATGTGCTTAATAAAAAGCGTTATATAGGGTAGCCAGTGGCTAACACACCTGTGGCCTTCGTTCCATTAAAAATTTATACTCCATTTTAGAGTTTGCCTTTGGTCGTTCTTAGACTCGATTATGTACAAATGCGTTCTTATTTTATTAAGGTTCCATTGTATAGTAAGAAATATACGTACTACGGAACAATACGAGTTGATCAAAATGCCACTGGTTTTGGTTGAATAGCTGAATATTATAAAGTAACAGTTAAAAAAGCTCTCGTTCTGATTGTTTGGGAGCGCGTTCTTTAGGGAGAGCACACAGCACGCGCGCGCACTTTCAGTAACGGAAATAAAAAAACTTGCTTGCTGTGCTGTGTGGAGATATAAAGCACTTTGGGATTGGCAGAACACTCAAGAAGTGTCGAAAAGCGCTCCGCTACGACGCATCGTGCTTTTCCTAACACTTCTCTCGTTTTCTGCCAACCCCCGCGTGCTTTATAACTGCACACATCAGCCGCGCGCGCGTTTTCTATTTCTTCACCCACAACCGAGACTAAGGCTGAGCAAAGAGTACTCGAAACTGGAGTACTGAAATTTAGAAGTTATTTTTTGTGGAGGGAGGAAAACCGGAGAACAACAAGAAAACCCCTCCCTTACTTCAGAATGAAAGCAAATGACATGCTAATGTTTATAGCAACAGTTTGAAAACTCACACTTTCATAAGATCTTTGTTTCTATCGAATATTCCAGCTGGTAACGACCTCAGATTATTATGATACAAAAATCTGACAATTAAAAGAATAGTATCATGTAAGGGTTGGGAAACTTTCCTGTCATTTCATAAAATTCTGATCCGATTCCAAAAAGGGAGGTTTTACAGAGTTGTACAATTAGTGGCTAACAATCAAAGTAAAACAAAATAAAAACAATGGAATTAGTGTCTACTTTAAGGTAGCTCCATATAGTTAAAAGGCTTTTGAGGTACATGTTACATATTGCTGTATT